GGTTTTGTGACATTGATAAAGGAAGAGGGATTCTAGCTCCTGCGCTCTGTCCCTCACTCTGACCATGGAGATCCCTCTCATCTGCCCCAGCTGCAGAATGGGAGAAACAGCACCTGTCTAAAAGATGAAGTCTTGCCTCCTGCTTCCATGTTGTTATTTACAAGTGTGGGTGATACTTCAAGGCAGAGAGGACTTCTAAATATACCAAATCCTTTCTTATGTCCAACATACTATGTTTTATACATCTCCTATGGAGCAGTAAATGTTTCATCTGCCTAGATTCCCTGACAAAGTTTACGTATTTGTGACTGTGAATCCAATCGTCAATATGCTTCAAAATTCAGGGTAGGAAATGGACTCTTCAAACTTCCTGAGATTGTTACTGTTGCTACACGCATCAGAGTTCAGCTAAGTCAGCTGGAAGAAATAGCTCACACACAGGGCACTGGAGTTTCCATCTCAGGTACTGTCACAGATCCCAGCCCAGAAAAGCTAAGCCCAGAGGAGTTTCTCCAACAGAACACACTCCAGCAGGTGAACAGCCAGACTCCATACCATGTCCTGATGGTCACCACAGCCCGCACCACTCAAGAGGCACAGCTGAAAACAGAGGAGGAAAATAATCCATCAGTGTGCCCCTCGGTACCTGTTTGCCTCACACTGGAAACAAGTCCCTACAAGCTACTATCAGTAACTGCAAAAGTTCGGTCACAGGTGTTAAAAGGTTACAAGACAGAGCAAAACATTGAGGCAGATGCACAACACTGCATCAATGCTGGATGCCTTTAAAGAGCTTCCAAATGGGTGCTAGCAGGGCAAAGCTTGGTTCAGGACAGCCAGACCTTGTTCAGATCTCTGAAAATATGAATAGCTCCTTAGCCACCTGCCAGTATCTGTTTTTCACATCAGAATCCTCTTCCATCACCCCAACAGATTTTAACAACCAACATGCTCTCATTGAAGCTGCTGCCAATGCCTCTGAGTAGACATTCTGTACCTGCATGTGTCCTGGACCAGAGAGAGATTCTAAAACCCAGCAGCCCTCTACCCAGAGTCCCTGCACCACAAACAAACCTCTGCCCATCCTTATAGCAACTTACTATGCTGCTCGACAGTGTGATCTTCTTTAAATGCTCCACTGGTGTCTGCCAGAAGCGCAACTCGATATGAAGCTTACAAGTGCCAGACAGCTCCTTCATCCCTCCATAACAAATAAATCTTCAGGATAAATCCATGCTCTCCAATGTCACTTCTTATATATAGACAATCAAAGAAACTAAGGTACAGAAATGTGAAGACAAGGCATATGAGTCAAATTATATTTAACCTCTCATTTAGTGATTAATCTAACAGAAATAGCTTGCTACATTTTTAATTTTACTCTCTGGTTCACATGAAGGTTTTTTCAAGTGTTTCAAGCGTTTCTGTACTGTGCTGAACTTTTCTCCTCCAAGATACAGCCATTCTTATCCTCAGGAATAAACCTTTAGGTTATTTTTCCTTGCCAATGAAATGAACCCAGCCCTGAAGTAGGAGCTCACAGGCTCTTGGCTCAGTGTGACAAACTCCCGTCACATCCCGAAAGGACACTGAACAGATGGGCATCTCACAGGGCAGGATTTAAGCCAGACTGGATCCAGCCAAATTCAACAGGACCTCAGACAGCTTCCAAGGCCAGGGAATGCATCTCCACATACTGCAGGATACAGGATACTGACTCCATAAAGATGCAAAGAGCCGGGCAGCTCAATCACCAAGTTAGCAGTAGGGTTCCTGGCTGCTCCTTGGGTAAGTTCTGCTACTGTTCCTCACTCCAGCTCACCTGAGAGGCCTCTCCACTTGGGCAGCACCAAATAGAGATGCTCAGCAGGTGATTGAAATACGCAATTTTGCCATCCCAACAGTGCCCCTTCTTTCTAATAAGGAGGCAGTTGCAAGCTGGAATTGCTGCAGGACATCTTGAGCTCTGGGTTCCCAGGAAGAGTTGCTGCCTGATAATAACCAAGTCACACCAGAAGTCCATCAAGATCATTGCAAACATTCATCCTGCTGCAATGCCTTAAAAATGACTGACTTTAAGTTGCTTTCCTCCAGTCTGAGGAATCACAAGACTGAAAAAGATGCAGAAGACAGCTAAAGCAAGACAAGAAAGAAGCCTGCTTCTCCAGCTCATGCTCCACTGGGACAAGGGCCAAACAGAAGGAGTGGAGACAGCAGAGACAAGAAACCCCTCAGCAAAAGGAGCTCTGGACTGAGCAGAGGGATTAATACTGCACCCAGCAGTGGGAGGATGATGGGGGCTGGAGCACTGAGGATCACTCTTGGGAACACAACAGGACCTGAACTCTGTTTCCAGCAGCTGTATACTCACTGGGAAAACAAATGGCTCTGATTATCAGCTACTGATCTCAGGCTGGCCCAAACCATTTGAAACCTGCTTATTAGTAACATCTCTGTGGTACCTACAGGAACAGCAGACAAACAGGCCACAGGAAAGCAGATACCTGCTAAGGAGCCAGCCCTCAACTACTAATTATCTCTCTTTGATTCCCTCCTTAGCTCAGTCGAGATAGAGCAGGCTTTATTTTTGTTCTCCCTACTGAATCAGCATCTTCAATTCCCAGAGGCTTTTTTGTCCTCCTTGCTGAATCAGCATCTTTAGTTCCCAGAGACCTTCCTGCTGCTGGTAGCACACATGCCAGGAGTCAGCTTCACCAGGGCTAAGCAGGACTGGAGGCCAAAACACTCCCCTTATCTGCCTTTTCCCACACCCCTTGTGGCTCCTCAGCCTTGTCAGCTCCTGCCTATGCTTTTGAACACACCTCCCTGCAAGGAGTCCTTGGCAGAGCTTGTGACTATAAGACACCAATGCAATTCCCACACGTTTGCTTCAGCTCAAAACACTCCGAGTCTGTATCTGTCAAGAGGGTAGGGACCTTTCATCTGTCTTTTTCCAAAGGATGCTGGCACATCTGTGAAAGATAAAGCCATAGGAAGCCTCAGAAAAACATCTGCCAAGACAAGAAGGGGGATTCTGTTATCCCCAGTGTGATCAAGAAGAATAAAGCATATGAGCGGCTTAGCGTGGAAAGTTAAACAATCTCTTGGCTCTGGAAGTCCAACCCTAATTCAGGATAGCTTTCAAGATGGATTAATTGAACAGTTTTACCTTTAACAGAGCTTTATAGCCGGTCTCACACATGGCTGGGTCACCATTTGTAAAGAGAAAGTAAATTCCCAACAACAAGCAGCACTTGCTCACAATACCTGCCTTGCTTTGCAAGATGGATCTCAGGGAGCCACTCACAGGACCTGGGCAATATTCTCAGAAACAAGAACTCAGGGGAGAAATGGAAAATGAGTTATGAAGGAATCAATTTTCCAGAACCGTGCCTATTTTAGCACACTTCACACAAGAGCACAATGCTGACGCCAAGCTGGGAAAAGCAGGTCTTGGTCTCACTGACACTCATGTGTGAATAAAAGAAGTGATTTTCCCTTTTTTTTTTTAACCATGCCTTATCTTGGAATGGCTGAGGAGGGTGTCACAGCCATCTGTAAGAGCAGGGGATGAATGATCAAGCCTCAGTTCTGTCCTTAAAGTCCTAAATACCTTTCTGGTGTTCCTGTGCCACAGCAATAACAGTACCTGTTTAAACCCTATCACAATTCTGGCCCCCATCCCTTCAGCCTTGCTTCCTCCCAGAAATGAAGGCAGATCTTGTATTTTTTCTGGCTAGAAGCATGTAGTGCTCAGGCAGAGGCTTTCGACTGACACACAGGCGCATATTTGCAGTGCATCATACTGGGTAGCAGAAAAGGATGCAAAATGTACACACAGGCAGGACTCCTCAAACCCTCACCAAATTTCTCCTGCCCTTAGCAAAAAGATGCTATGTGATCATTTACTAGCTTCAGTAAATTCTGCCTTAAGAAAAAAAATCAGCATTACCCTCCAACCTGTTCCCTGGTGAAGCAGTTCTCATTTCCCGGCACTGCCTTCAGTGGGACATAACCCTCCAGAGCTCCCCTCCAAGGAATGGTCTGCACAAGGGAGGGGTTTGATCAGCCCACATCCACTATCAACAAACCCACAGCAAACTCTACTCACTCACAGCCTTACACTGCCCTGCCCCATCATTTCCAAGACCATCACACTAGAGAATAAAATCAGGCACTGCTCCTCAGAGTGACAAGAACAGGCTGCAGGGCTCCTACACCAGAAACTCCAGCTCCACACCCATGCATGGAGCAGCAGCAGCCAAACTGCTGAGCCTGACTGAGGCAAACATATCAAATCCTCTGCTACCAGGAACTCAGTCAAGGCTGCAAGAGCTACTCATTGGCTCAAATAAGAATTAAACACCAGTACTTACATGGCTGCAAACTTCATCCTAATGCACTCAGCATGCAGTGACCAAGGCTGAACCAAAGAGAGGATGCTGTGAGTCGTGTTGGTACAGCACAACCTTCCTCTCTGTCAAAGTGTTCGAACAAGAAAAGGACTGCCATGGAAGATAACTTTGAATCAAGTCCTCCTTCCCTTCATGCTGGGTCCCAAATATGCAGCTTGCATACCTCTGGTGAATAACACAGTGTTTATGGCCACAAACAGGTGCAAAGACCAACTTTTCAGCCAGCCCCCAGCCCTTCTGCTTTTGGTTCTCTGATAAGAAAGGTTTTCTAACCTCCTCCCTCCTACCTAACCAGGGGCACCTGCAGCTCATGGAGAACAGCTGGAAGAGGTTGGGCCCAAACATGAGGAAAGGGGGGAGGGAGGGAAAAAAAGCAGCTTTGCTAAGGGACTTCCTTCCTTCCCAAAGCACAAAGGTTCCCAGCCAGCAAATGGCACCCTCTCTGTCCAGCCACACTCTCCCTTAGCTCCAGGAGCAGTCACAGTTCAAGAAGTTTTGCTTCCTGGGCAACTATCACTGCCAAGGATGTTTTCAACAAAAGGACCAATAATAATCATAGAAAAGAAAAAAAAATTAAAATTCAACTCCAGTAGAAAAATAATTTAATAAAGGGATAAGTTTCAAGAAAGTGTCGGTATAGTAACAATATTTTAAGTAAAATGTCCACAAAAATATACATGTCTAATGTGACTATACATTAAGTTTTCCAACAGGTCCTGTTTTACACTTGGTTCAGTCCATGTAGGTTTTCATCTAGAAAAAGCCTTTACTGCTATCAGCCTTCCTGGGATAGATCAGTTTGCACAACAGAATCACATGAAAAATGTTTTTTTAACTCCTTTTAGGGTCATACAAATAAATTTTAGAGGTGGTAACAATCCAGAACAGATCAGGTCATACCATAGCATTAAAAAAAAAGTGAGTACAAACAAGGAAAGTGTAAGTCAGCTGCCCAAGGGACACAGGCAGAAACATTAGCCCTACAATACACACCACACAACACTGACACAGCTGGAAAAGGAGTGGCATGAAGGGAAGAAGGGCAAGAGGGAGGGGAAAATCCCAGGAGGACAATTCCCAGGAACTGTGGAACTGCTAAACAAGAGGGCTATAGAGAAGCCAGGGAAAAGAACATGTGACCAACATATGTCTAAAAACTGGACAATTTTGTAACATAGAAGACAAGCTAACTACAGGAATATGAAAAGGAATCAGTGGAGATTATTTCTTATTTTTCCAAATGGCTACTGAGCTGTAGAAATAACAGGTCTGTTCCAAAAAGCCCTTACCCATAGTGCTAATTCAGCTGAACCAGAAAGAAAAACCTGGTTACAGAGAGATGGAAGAGTACAGCAGAAAGTAAAGAAAACATGTTCCACCAGCAGAGGACAGGAACACAACGCTGAAGGGGAGATGCCAAACAAGAGAGATCAATGTTGTCAATGGGAAAGGTACAATGCCACAAAAAAACAAACCAAAGGGAACAAAAGAAAAACCCCATCCCATAGAAAGAAAATGGAAAATGGCTAAAGAAATAAAAGGACACACACTTTCCAAAAGATTTTTTGTTTTATAATCAAATTTCTTTTACATAGACAACTGAAACACACCAATATTTTGTGCGAAAAATATTTTTAAATAAACTTTGCTTGTTCTACATTTTTGTACATTCTGATATACATATGTAACAAGGTTTATGGCACTGTAACCAGGATCAAAATCATATAAAGGAAAGAAGTAATTGCTCTCATTTATCCTTTCTGAATCAAGCTGGCTGCTGTTGCACTATTAGACTTGAAAAATTATTATCTTATTATTAGTGGGCAGCCAACTCTTATTGGTTTGAACACTCAAAACAAACCCCAAATTATTATTGCACAAGAAGCCAGTGAAGGCATATGGCATCGAATGATCGAAGTCCCTTGCTGTTAAAACCTAACACCCCAAAATAGAAAAATAGAACTGGAACATGAAACACACCAAATAAACTTTGTTTTCTTCTTTAGTTTGAGTCAGGAGTGTGAAAAGTGCCTTGCAGACTTTTAAGCTGCTCTGATTTCCTTTGCATCAGTGAGCATTTTGCACAGTCTTTGCAGAACGAAGGCCCTTCTGTTTCAGGGAGGTTTTTTTCTGCTTTGTTTTGGCTATTTGTGTTTTGTCTTCAACTTAGGTTTCTTCAGTCTATGAACCTGCACAGACTACTTAGCCATAAACTCTACAAGTAGCCAGAGAGGAGGGAAAAATAAAACTTAAAAGAAAAAAATCCCAACATTTCTTTTTCCTGTTGTTTTTATTTTAAAAAGTACTCTTTTTCTCTGAAGCCTCCCTGCTGTGACGGTGTCTGAGAAGGAAATCACAACAGCATCCCAAACCCAGCAAAGTTCTTGGATCTTTTAAAAACCTTTCCTTACAAAAAAAGGTTTTTATTCACAAAAAGTTTGCCACAAAACTCCCCTTTGAAAGCTAAAAAGAAAACCCCACAACCACCCATCACTGCCCCAAATCAGGTGAAGAACACATTCCACCCCCTCGCAGCATGGCCGTCACACGACAGTCTCGACACCGATCAGCTTTGGTGTGAGGATTCGTGGGGTGACTCCATTGTTCAGGTCTTCTTCAAACTCCAGTAACTGCCCCATAAAGTTAAGGTTGGGGGAAATGATTGGTCGTTTTCCTTTGACAAATTTATAGGCATCTGTCATGGTCATGCGTGTGTGCTTCATTAGGTATGCAATAACGATGGTGGCAGATCGGGAGACACCAGCCTGGCAGTGGATGAGGAGACCTTTTCCACACTGATGAGCTTCCTCTGCAAACAAGACAGACAAAAGAAAGTAAGATTTCTGCCTGTTTGTAAATCAGAACAAGCTCAGTGCAATTAAGAGTAACTTAATGAGAAAAGTTCCTTGATTTGAACTTTTCACGGTGTCTCTTCCCCTCCATCACATCTTCCCCCAAGGTTTCAGAGCTACTGAATGTGAAACCCCCAGTCCACTCTGACACTGAAAATCCTCACATCCATTCTCTGCTCTTTATTAGTGGAACCATGCATTGAGAGATGCTGCTTCACTGCCATGAGCATTTTGTGAGGAGGGCAAGGTCCATGATGAGGAATCTCAGGCTTCATTTCCACCTCAGTTGCAACACCACTGCATTATGTCAGCAGCTCAGCCTCCCTGTTTTTCAGAGCAGGGAACCACTTCTAGAAACCAGATATTTTCAGATTCAATTCATAACAATACATGTGTTTCAATGCCCTGTCCTCTGAAGCTTTACAAAAGTACTCTTGAAATGAGCTTCAGTGGGTGTCTCTGCTGTGGTGCCTCTGCAAAAGGAGGAGCTGGATACACACACACACCCCACCAAGATTCATCACTTACAGGGAGGGACCCTGGGCAGCATTTAGGGAGGACAGAGTCCTTCTAATCACATGCTAACATGACATGAGAGAGGACAGTCACTACCATACCATCCTCATCTGCCACAGCTTGCTGTTAAAACAGGAGATTGAACTTTCAGGAAGTCACACTTCCAACTACTTCTTTTATTTCAATCCACAGGAGGAACATGAATTTAGTTTGCGGGTTTTGGCACGAATCCAACCCCACCAAGAGTACAGTTCAACCCACCCCACATGTTCAACCTGTACTGTGAGAGCATAAATGAAGCCAACATCCCTCTAGACATTTTTGCCAGTTAGTATTTCAGAAAGCTGAAACTCTCTAACGCATTTTGCCACACATTCCCAGAGATGATTTCACTTCCTATGGCTTTAGTCTTAGCTAAACCTGGGGTTGGTTGTGGTTTTTTGAAGACATATTTAAAGAAACATAGGCCAACAATCCACAGTTTAAACATTTCCAAATCTTCTCAAATGCAATTTAAAGTTTACCCTGAGGAAGGGAAAGCTTTGGCCGGTTACTTCCCCAGCTGGTTAATTTGAGAGGGAAGAAAAACTCTCAATAGAGATATATTTGTTTATTAAAACAAAGACAGACCCTCAAGATCCAATTATTAAAAAGGAAGTAAAATGGGTTTTGAAAGGCTTTCTAAACCTTTCCAGAGCAAAGCTGCTTTCACTGCTCTTGGTAAACACTATCTTTCAGTGGTTTTGAGAACTCCAATCCTGCAATTCAAGGGGATGAGGGGAGCAGAAATCTCTCTCTTGTACCTCAGAAAGACCTCAATGGAGCTTCACAGTCTCTACCTAAGCTTAGCCTATAATATCTCCTCATCTTGTTGAACTTGAAGTTTAAAGTTTTACTGAATTTCTTGATACAGCTGTTTTCCTAAAGGATCAAAGCAAGGTTTCCTTTTCTCCGCCCTTCACCCAAACAAGTGTTCACCTTCCCAGGCACACAGTAACCAGCAGCTTGGGAAGCTGACAGCACTACCGGTACTGCTGGGACTGGGTTAAGAAAACAAGGGAAAATTTGAGTTAGAGATCCTTCTTCACACTGTAGAAGACAAGCCCAAAGGCTCAGAATGCCAAGATTCACCTGAACTGCAGCATAAGCAGTGATTTCTCTATTCACTTCACTAAAGCAGTGTGGCTGCAGAGCACAGGCATCAGCACACCATGACCCCCTGCCAAGACACAGCCAGGCAAGGCTGAGGAGCCATCTGCTTCTGAGCTGCCAGCCCTGCCCGGTGCACAGCAGGGGCAGATGGGCTCACAGCAACCTGCTGAGCCTGGCCCTCCTCCCTGGTCCCACAGCTGGGGCCAAATCCTTGCTGAGCCTGAGTGCACCTGAGTGCAGAGCCAGCACAAAGGAGGGGAGGGAGGAACATGGCTCTGCACCTCCCTGCCATTATGGGGTCAGTCAAGGACCTACACTGTGCTGCACACACAAACACACATCTTTCTTTGTCTAGTACTCCTCCGTCAAGCCTGAAGTATTGGTAAAGGAATTAGCTCAGTCTCAGCACAAGAAAATAGAATTTTATGTCAGTGGTTCCCCTGGCATATTTCACATACTTGTGCTAGCGAAGTACCTTTACTATGCTACAAAAGTAGTGTCAACAAAGACTTCTAGAGGGGCAAGGCAAGGTCTTCAAAAGCTTTCAGCACCACATGCTGAAGTCCTCTCTGACCAGCCCTGCTTGAAGTGGCCATTTGGCTTTAGCCTAGCTGAGCATGGCCCCAAACTTGGCTGAGGGCTGTGCTGTGTTGATTGTAACAAGGTCCAGAACAATGCTGCTGGGTCACTTCTTCAGCAATCTCCACAACAAGCGGCGTGTCTGTGGTGAACTCTCTCACACAGCCTACAGGGTTTAGAGGCTTATTAATGCAAGTTTTCATCACTATCTGCTCAACCACACATACACTCTGAAGCTACAAATCTAATGGTGGAACAAGCCAAGTGTGAAAGTTTGTCAGTTTTCTCATTAAGTTAGCAAAGACTGAGAGACCATTAAGAACAGTCACTATGAAAAACTGGCTGAAAGCCACTGTGTGGAAACTAGGAATTCAAAGGAATCAAAACAAGGGGATGACGGAAGTCTCAATTTTTTGGGGTTTCCTGAATTTAGAAGCCTGGAGGTAGGTGTTAATATCACTGGATAAAATTTGTAACCTCGGGCTACTTAACCAGATGGGCCAGAGATGAGAAAGGACAGAAATATGAGGTGCTCAGCATTTCTGACAACCCAAACTAAAGGAAATATGGCCTTAACCAGCCTTCAAAGTTGCTGGCAAAGCATAAAGTTCACTCTAAATTGTTATAACGGGTAAAAATAATAACAAAAAAAAAAACAAACAGGAGTATTTCCAGGCAAGGGTAATTACCAATAAACTCAAAAGCCTCTTCAAAATACTGCCTGAGATTCTGCTTGTTGCTGTCAGTGGCTGGGAGCCGCTTGTAGTTGAACATGCCTTTCTCATAATGGTACAGGGGCAGGTGAGTGGTCACGTTGATGACGTAGCCAATGTTCATCCTCTGCATTTTCTCCAAGTCCTGAGCATCATGCTCGTTTCCGAGGAAAAGGAAAGGCAGGATGGGGGTGAGCTCAGCGTTCTCAATGTCTGGCGTGGTGGGGATGGACTGAGGTAGCACGGGGGGCACAGCGGAGGCACCGCTCCCTCCTCCCCCCTCGGGGCACTCTTGCAGCTGGAGGGAGTTGTCACAGAGGTTTTCATGGTTCTGCTTGAAACCACTGAGTCCTCCTGGGAAAAGAGATCAAGCAGATACTTTGGTTAGATACCCCAAGATTCCTTCAGAGCACACAGTGGGGCCACAAGGACTGGAGCTGGTTCTACTGTCCCCACCACCACTGAAACAGTGCCACTGGGCTGTCGACAGCAAGGGTGGCATGATTCAGCAGCAAGCATTGTCCTCCCTCTGCACAGTGGACGGTGCCAAGGAACAACAGGGCTCACAGACAAACATGCCTCTGTGCAACATCAGCCTGCTGAGGCTGCCTCACCTACCAGCCCACGCGACAAGGAAGGAGTTTCAAGAGAGGAACTTCACCAAAACTAAGGGCCAAGGGGCTATCAGCGCACTAGAGCAGAGCAGCAAGCCAGCTGGGACAGTCTTAGCTTTACCTGCCCTTTAGCAGGCCTGCAGGGCATCTCTCCACCCAAAAGCTCTGAGGGGGATGGGAGCAGCTCACCCCGGCATCGCTCCAGGGAACAGCATGTACCCGTCTGAGCGCCCAAACAAAAGAAAACCACTCCTTGTAACCTAACAGCGACTGAGGGGCTTGCTTAACATATGGCAAACAGCTCTCCTTTTGCTGCCCCAGCCACCTGAAAATATCTAGCAAGAGTTATTTTTAGGACATTAAAATGGATTGGGAAATGGATCTGAGGGGGGAGGGAGAAGTCAGTTTTTCAGTGAAGGAAGCTCATGCCTTCCCTGCTCTATTGCTGGCTTTTTCAATAACCATTTCCCTTCCCTTACTTTTTTCCTTTTTTTTTTTTTTTGAGGAGGGTGGTTTCACAGAGCTGGAGCAAGCAAAGTGGACCTTCTTTCTACACCTCATTCTCCACTGACATCAGCAGCAGGCTCCCCACCTGCCCAGTTTCCATGGCAATCCCATAAAGCACACAATGACATCAGCTGGCATGACATCAGCTCTTTGAGTGCAAACAATACAAGAACTACTACTTTGTTCAAGGCCTTTGGTAGGAGGCAGCAGCGTTCCTGGGAGTCACTGATGTAATGCTAACAGGTGGCTCCTCTGAAAGAAAAAGGCGGAAAGAGGAGAAATGCAGGGATGTGTTCCCCCCCACCTCACGCACATTGCTGTTGTACCAGGATAGTTGAAGTCATGCTCAGCATCAACATGAGCCAAGTGCTCAGGCTCAATTGCACTTTGTTAACTGTAGGCCAAAAAACATCCAGGAGAGCGAATCTGAAGTTACTAGAAAGAGCCCCACTAGCCAAAATAAATGCAGAATGTCACCCTCCCAATAATGTTATTTAAAAAGAAAAAAATAAGAGAGAAGCTATTTGTCTTTTCCATGCTCTTTCACAGTGATCCAGTGAAAGTGTTAAAGTGAAGCAAAATATGCCCCCACTCAGGCTCTGGATCAGACACAGCAAAGGGTTTCAATGCCTACTGTTGAGGGCTGCAATTCAAATGTCCAATTCAAGTGTCTGTGACATGCTTAGGGTGGGACCCGGGTGGGACCCACCCAGGCCCATTTCAGTGCCCTGTGCTGTATTTCAAGGGCACAAGGCACCCAGACTAGTTACAACCAGCTGAGCCCCTGTAATGAAAGTACCCTTTTCCACATCCAAACTTGTGTCCTTCACGCACTGCTAGTAATGTAATTTCCCTGAAATCCTTGAAATGCCTACAAAATGCAGAATATTTCCCCTGCCTCAAAAATGTGCTTGTCTTCAGCTATTTCTGCTCTTTATAGGACAGAGCAAACAGATTTGCTTTAAAGATCTCTATTCTGTAAATTGTTATAACAGGGGATCCGGCTAGAAAGAAGAGCAAGGACAAAAATTTGATCTCAACTGCATCACCTGGCCTCAACAGGGCCTGAAAAGTCTTCTCAGTCCACTCAAGAAAATAAACAAGATGATGGTCCCCAAGCTGAAGATGTCTGAAGTCTCATCTAAACCAACAGCCCCAGCCTACAGTCTAGGCTAAAGACTAAACCCTAACCTACATTCCCATCTTTCTGAATGGGCAAGCAATCCATTCAGCTTGAATATTGCTGTTTAAACAATAGCTACAGCATGCTGGGATTCCCAAGAAAACCCCTGAAAAAGTTTTATTTTTTAGTGACTCCAGAGCCAACGCTCATTTTCCACCTCTCCTGATGACTTTTGGGAATAAGCAGCCATAGCTGGAGGTAGAACCCCACTGGTTCATCACTCAGGTGGGGACACACTGATGGTGTGGCAGACATCATCTTGCTTCACCAGCTGCCTTGTAAGACACAGCAGAATATCACGGCAAAGGATGGGAAGGGACCTCAAATGCAACATATGGAAGATGCCCCAACAAGTGGAGTAGCCAGACATATAATACCATCAGTCACAATTTTTTTACAGACATTTGCCAGTGTCACCATTCCCAATGTCAGTTCACATCCCCCACTCTCCTTGTTCATCTCCTCATGTGAGAGGAGAGTTAAAAAGTCATTTCAAACAATATTTAAAGCAATTCTCAGAGCAAATGTTCCTGAAAGAACACATTACTGGGGAGAGGATTACTAACCTGCTCTGGCTCAGACATGTCAGCAAGGGAGGACTGGACAAGAACACTGGTACCCAGGAAATGATGCAGCAAGATGCAGTCATGGCATCAAGCTGAACTCTAATCGAAGAACAGGAGCTTAGCTTGTATCTGTGCTGCCATATGAGTCATGCAGGTCCCAAAAAAGGACCCAGACACCTCCTGAGTGCTGCTCCATTCTCAACACACACGATCCTTGCACAAACTGATTTATGAGGCACTAGAGTAATTTAAGTGGCACTCAAGCACATATAATGCTCAGGCTTTTCTTAAGTTTGAGACTACCTCCCAAAACAGGTCCAAGCAAAGTTAATAATGATCAGTCAGAAAGAGAGGGATGGATTTTCCACATGAAGGTAAATACAACATACAAAGTATTCAAATGCATCTGTATTCCCTTGGCAAGCTGCTGCTATTTCAGTTCATTTCAAGTCTTCATTTAGGGAGAGTAGAAAAGGTGGGAGAGAAGAGGCTGCTCCCACACCAGAGGCCAACACAAATCTCTTGCAAGCCTGGTCTAAGAGTTGATTCATTAGATTCAGTAAAGTGCAAGACACCACTGCTACTGACCACAACTCCAGATCACAAGGAAGCTCAAGGCATGGATGCAGAGACGCAACTTGGGGTTGTAACAAAAGCTGTTTTGTGATTCACCCTGCCCAAGCCTTTCCAAACCTGGGGAATGTAGGAAGCATTACAGAGGGCAGTAACAGCACCTGTGGCCGAGAAGCACAACTTAGCAGAAGTCTCTTACTAGCACAAAAGCTGCATTTTAAAAGCAGCTTTTCAGATACTGTTTGCAATATGGGAAAAGCCTTCATCATATAGAGACAACCTAAGTAGAGAGGCAACATAATATATCCACCAAGAAAGTCCATGGGAATGCATGGCAGTCTGCTGGAACCACAGCCATGGAGTATGGACTCAGGAGTGTAGCCACCTTCAGTGACAAACCAAAATGCCAGCAGGCAGATGAGCCAGTGATGAATGTCCATTTCAACACTGTCCTGCCTGCAGCCCATCTCTCCTGGCTTTAAACACTCCACAGAGCTTGTAATGACTAAAGCATGAGGAAGTATGCCCAGCCAGTGGGATGCAGCTGTGCTTGGGCACGGACAACATCCCAAGTACCTTTGCTCTGTTCCAGAACGGCTGCTGGGCAGGTGTTCAGAGGGCTGAACCTACCCAAACTGAAACAGAGATGGACATACAAGGACACTCAGAACTCTGGGGAACCCAAGGTATTTCTTCCATGAGGAAATCAATCAGTGAAGTAGAACCCTTGCTGGCAGATGGCCTCGCGTGGTATTTAGCAGAATACAACAGAACACCAAGGGCTCTTTGCTCACCACTGATGCAAGACCCAAGTTGCAGAACCATTCTGGCAGTTGTAACTGCATGACATTTTCCAACATCCTGCCCTGCCAGAACAGTAAGTAAGTGACAACAGACTTTGAAGTGTCTGAGACCTCAAAAATTTTGGAGAAGTTTTAAGTCAGCACCTTACGTGCTCCAGCTATTCACATTCATTTGTTCAAATTCTCTGCTGCCATCTGCCCATAAACATCTCACTTAATGCTCCTCAAACTCTCCCATCAGGCAGCACCCAAGAAGCAGCTGCACACAGATTTTCCAGCTCCAAAGCCACGCAGGATGCCAGGGCTCACACCACCACTGCAAGACCAGGTGAGCAGCTGAACAGCAGCCAAAGCAGCTCTGAACAAATAAAAAAAGACAAGAATCATGGGTCTGGCATTAAATTCATGCTTAACACAGTGTCCGTCATTTGCCATCAGAAGAGGGCAAATACGATGCAAAACAAGCACAAAAGGTACAGCAAGAATGAGGCAGCCAGCTTTTTATGAGAGACTATGGCCTTGAAATAGCATCCTCTTCAAAGAAATCCAGAGAAACAAATTTATAAAAGTGGATTGGCTGGTTGGGGATTTGTTTGTTTGAGGGGATTTTTTCATTTGTTTGTACCATGCAGCTTTTTAGTTTAGGGTTTTTGTTGTTTGTTGTTCAAGAATATTGAGAATTTAAGTACAAGGAGTACAGTAACACCTGTACCTGGCCTCCTCTTCTGTCTCTCCTTCAGCCACCACTGCTGCTCTCTGGCTGCATGACTATATGCAAACTAGGATTTGAGTTCACAATATGCTTTGGCACATTTGCAATATGTTTCCTATCTGGAAACAGGCTCGTGCCCCAAAGTTAAGGAAGTAAATGACCTTGTTTCCAGTGGGAGAGCTTAGAGAGAGGCAGCTACAGTCAAATACCCTCACCACAAAGCAACACCTTTGCATTACCTCATCAGTGTGGATATACTTTGTTCTGAGCGTGGCAGGTACTGGGTGTTCCCACTCCCACTGCAAACAGGAACATACTTTTATACATGACAGACTGCAGATGTGGGAGCCATATTTAGACTAAGCATGTGGTCTTAGGAGACAACCAGACCTTTTATATGGTTTTCAAAGCCGTCCAGGCAGATTTCTGGATCTGCTCATCCTTGATTACAATACCACAAAGCTATCTCAGAAAAAAAAAAGGGGGGAAAAAAAAAAAAAAGCAATGCACACACAAGCACAAGAAGAACAGAAATCCCAGGACACTGGGAAGTATCAGCAAAAGAGATGTTCGATCTGTAAATTCCCCTCCTCTCGTGTTGCTGGGCTCTTGTGGAGTGCACAGCAGAGAATCTGGTGATACCACAGTTCTGGTCACACAAGCTTCAGTCGCTCAGTAGTGAAGTCAAGCTTTAAAACACCCACTCAGCATGTGCCCTGTCAGTACCATCACAGCAAACCCTGCAGCTGTGTTTGAGTGAATTTAGGGCTGAAATTTCACAGGGAGCATTTGGGGTGCAGGACAGAGACACTCAGACAATTGGTGTGTATCTGTTTAAGACAATGCTTTGAATTTGTGCAATACAGCCTGTTCCTTTAAACCTGTGACCTCATTTATTTACATTACTGCAGAAAAGCACTGCCAGAAGCAACAGCTGATGACAGTCTCATGTATTTTTCCACTAAGACAACAATTAAACTGCTCCTGTGTTATTAATGAACAGATGACTTTGTGTCAAGTTGATTCAAAGCACAGGATGCCTCAAGGTTAAGCAAACGTGACTCCAGCATGTAAAAATAGAAGTTAGGTACTGTCCAGATGCTTCACCCACCAAGTGCTCTCCTCCTTCCTCAGCCTCCTGAGCAGGAGGGCCCAGGTTTCACAGCTACCCCCCACCATGCTGCCCACCAGTGTCTAGAGGTCCTGCTGCAGGGTGGCGCACTGGTGCTGAGCCACCACCACTGCAATGCCACCATGCGGGCTGCTCCTGTACCATGGGCCTTCTACCAAGGCAGATGCTGCTGTACAGGTTGAAGCAGAATTCTGCCATTATAGGTCCAATCCACTCCTAGGATATGGACAACAACCTAGACCATCTCTTCATCCCACCAACACAGCTATGGCTGCAGGTGTAGGTCTGCTGAGCACCAAGGAAACTGTCAGGGAGGGGATGGAGGCACTGGGGTTGCATCCATCATGCACAGGACCTAAGGCCACCTTGCTATTGAAGATGCAGCCATAACACTTGCTCACAGATGTTGCTGGAGTGATTTTAGCCATAACAAAGATGGTTCCTGGTGTGTCCTGGGGATTATGCTCTATCCATCCTGAGGCACTGAAAGAAGGGATGCTCAGATCTCAGAACAACACAAGACACACACTTTCCTTGCCCAAGCAGGGCTCTGCTTCCCCAACTTCTTCTAGAGCAACAGGGCCAATCCAAGCAGATCACTGTAGGAGTGTTCCTACTCTTCAAGCAGATGGCCATCTCCTCACCACAGCTACAGCTGAGCAGTGCTCAAGGCTTGCCCTCACTGCTGCAGCAACTTTGACATGGCTGGAAATACTGTATTTGCCCACACAGCAGGAAGGACAACTCCCTTATATCCACAGGGGTGGGGACCTATTGGACCACACTCAGCCAGGTGACATTAGTGAACTGCTCACCTGCCTGTGGGATGTTCCAAGGAAACCCTGCCATGGGGCTTTCCTTGTCACCCACACAGCATTCAGCAACAGCTGTGCTGCAAAAGATTAAGCTTTGAGCAAACATAAAAAAGTAAAAGTAAACATCACACACAAAGAACAGCTTCCACCTCGATACACTCAATCTAATCTAGTCTGTCCCTTGAACTGAGCTGCCAACAGCACTTCAAAAAAAAGGCAAAACTTCACATTCCAAAGAACTTGCAAGGTCAGTTTTTTTCCATGTGGGAACTATCCTGAGAGGTCAGTTTGTACACAAATTCTGGCCTAGAGGAGTCACAAGGACATCCTTGACACAATGGCTTTGAGGTCCCTTTAGAAGTCAAGAGTGCAACGCCGGATAAAGACGAAAGGTTTCCCCTCAGCATCAAGGGACATGCACAAATGTTTGCATGTTATTTCTAATTTTATCTCACTATGGTTCACACCCCTCGTCACAGCACATCCTCTCTCACTGGCTTTTGAGGTCCCTGGCCTCATCCACTTTTATTTTTTTCCTCTGACACCAGGCACAGCAAAGCTGGCTCTCCCAGGGTCACATCCTGGGGAGGCAGGCAAGAAGTCATCCAAAACCCCATTCCCTGCCAGACTGTACCAGAGTTGCTGGCTCTGTCCAGCTCCATTCTCGTCTCCTCCCATTCTGCCACCATCCATTTTCAACCACACCATCACTCCCCAGGAGCCTCCCACACCTCAACACATGACTTGCTTTTTTCCACCATCAGCTTTCACCTCGTCACTTTTCCTCTTCTCATGACTACTAGATCATCTAAATCCATTCCAATTAGAAAAAACAATCTTTCTTCCTTGACCTGCCACTAGAAAACCTTTCTTGGATTTCAGTTTAACTCTTCTTTATACTTTTTTGTGTCTTAAATTTAGGGTTTTTTCTCAGACCCTGAACACCCAAGCAAACTCACATATCCCATCCCTTTACCTGTCAGCTTTTCCAAGAGATGCTACTAACCTTTGGGCTCATCAGCCTGTCCAGAAGCCACCCTGAATAATTTGGGACCCCCTCTCTGTACTCAAGACAGTGGTTCCAGCTTGTAACTGGAAATCTGCCCTATGTTATGGGAGTGCTGATTCTGCTTATTTCAAAACAAAAACTCAAGTATTCACAGGAAAATAAGCTAGCATTCTTCAAACCACTGTGTTATCCTTGGGGAGCGGTCAGGAAGGTGAAAGAGGAGAAGGCCTGCTCTGAATTTTGGTACAAGGACTAAACTATACAAGAATGTAAATAGGAATAAGGCAAGAAACCCCACAACCCAAACACACTATGGTGACAACTCTGCAGCCACCATGGAGGAGTGGACGTACCCTCCCTGGAGGGCAAGCGTTTATAGCAGAAACTCAAAATTAGTCACATTACAACTTCTCATGGCAAAAGTATGTGTTCCCATGGGGATGCAGGCTAACATGAAGTCCAATTAAATAATCACTGGAAATGTCAGCATAAACCCTGAAGGAATACATACTTCTACTGTGAAATGCTCCCACTGGAAATCATATTAACAAAAAGGTCATCAAGAAATGCTAAAGCTATGTACAAAAGAGGCAGGAGAAGTGAGAGAGGAGGGAACAGAAACTGTTTTAACGCAATACAATACCACAAATGGTTTTATATTGACAAAGAGCTATGGGTCTGTTTTCCCAGACAGAGGTAGAGCTGAGCAGATTTGCCCAAAACAGCAAGTTTCATTTGTTTTCTAATCTATTACCAGTTCCCTCCCTGGTCATCACCATATGCATCTCTCAAGCAAGTGGCCTGGAAAGAGCCAGCACAGGAGCAGGATGCGGGCAGCTGTGGCTCAGCACGTCTGAGGAGGTAGAAGGGTCCCAGGACTGTGTCAGACATGCGTAATCCTGGATGTGTAGGAGTAGACTTTCTGTTTAATCTGAGCATTTTAGAGAACACTGACATTTTCATGCTTCCGCCACCCATTTATTCTCTTTCCCCTTTTAAGAGCAACCTCTCCAGGACAGTTTCTTTCTAAACAGAGGGCAGGCTGCTTTGTTTCTCCTGAGAATAACACAGGCTCTTTTCCAGTCTAAGCCACTGCTCCTCTACATCAGAAACACCAGCACCATGCACATTAATATGAAAGGAAAACAGGGTGCTGATATAGCACACTCTCATTTGGGAGTACCATCCATTCCTGATGAATTTAAACTCTTTTTAGACTGAAAAGTTTCTACCCTTTCATCTAGAAATAACAGTATCTGGCTCTGATTTGACACTTTCTAGCAAGGTATTCCAAAACACATGAAGGAAAAACAAGGAAAGGAAAGGATGGTTTCTTGACATATCTCAGTGCCACAGAGTCCAAAATAAAAGCAGCATATTACTGGAACTAGCATGGTGTATGCTAGCCCCCACTTTGATAAAAGCTTCAGGGCCAGCTCTGCTGGCACATACATCCCAGTCTAAATGGTCAAGGAACCAAGGCTAGCCCCCAAAAACCCCACAGGCAAAGAGAAAGTTGACAAAGATTGCATCCATATTCTTCAGACTCAAGGCAAGAAGGAAGCAGGGAGAGGGGGAAGAGAAAAAGACATATTAACAGAATCCAGAGCTAAACAGCAATAAAACAAGGATTATTTCCAGCTAGATGAAAATCAACCCTTGTGTCCAAATAAAATAAGTCACTGTCTCCACTAATATTTCCCAGGAAACATAAGAACTGTGTTGTCCCTCAACAGAGATGATGCTCTGCCTTCCTGGACTAACACCTATGAATAATTTCATTGTAAACAATCAGAGAGGTTCTGTACCTAAAATATGCCAGCAAATTTTAAGCAGCAGCAAAAGTGTTATTTTTAGCTCTCATCCACTATACAGACAGATTCCCATTACCTTAACAGAAAATAAGAATAATTAAGAGCCCAGCATCAACATAGTGCAGGTCAACTGCTCCAATAGCAGCTTTTGCTTTAAAGCATTAGTGTTCAACTGCTTACATAAGGCTTAATATCACACTTTGGCATAATGGAGACAACCAATTTGACTGGTATGACAGAAGCTTGCAAGTTTTCTTCTATTTTCTTTAAGCTATTGTAAGAAAAAATATATATATATGATAATTCATGTGTGGACAAAGAGTAACATTTGTTCTTTTTATTACCTTTAATTAGAAGCAGCTCTTCTCTGTTGCAGTGAATCAAGTGGGAATTTATCCAGGCAGGCTGTAGACTTTTTAAAGCTAGGGCATAGTAAAAGAGTTGAAAACAAATGTGTTCACATCTCTATTATTATTCTCTTAATTTATATTTTCCAATTTACTCCTTCAAAGCCCTGATCTTGTAAGCAGGGTGTTGCATGCACACAAAGCAGCACTTAACCCTGGCAGGAGCAGGGGTTCCCAAACCCTCCCACCCAGTAGGAGCATTCCTGTCCTCCAGCAGCAGGGAATGACAGATTTACAGTTCCCTCCTGACCCCACCATGCCCAGACCCTCCAGTGGGGACAGCCCAATGCAGAAGCTCCCACTGCAGGAGCTGTGGGTGGGTGTAGCTGAGCTAGACAAAGGGTGGCATTGCTCCAGGCAGCAGCAATCAGAAGCTCATTCTTTCAGGTCAGAGGGACTAGGTGGCACCTAGACCTACAAGGTCCCAGTTGCTCCCTGCAGACTGGCCAGTTTAGGTCTCTCTGCACCCATTCTCCTGGGACAGGCTCACTGAAACCAAGTGCCAGGAGATCAGAAGCTTGTGCCCCTTCCTGATCTCACTCTTTTTACTGGGAGCAGAGCATTCCTTTGTAAAAGGAGGCAATTCCCTCACCCAAGCAGAGAAACACATGAAGATGAACCTCTATTTAAAAAAAAAAATACCTGGAGGCAAATCAGAGCCTAAAATTTGCAAAATTATGTGCAAAAATGCACAAGGGAAGAGAATGCTCCTAAATCCATCTCCCACTCTCTGCAGCAGGTAGCTGTGTTCTCCCAGGGCACCACTGTGACTGTGGATGGAGCCAGGATCAAACACACTTAACACCAATGGCAACAAGAGAGATAAGCTCTGTGTAACAAATGGTGCAAAGGGCATTAAAAAAAAATCAAACAAAAAAAGCAAAGCAACCAACCAACCAAAAAACCCACAACAAAACAAAACAAAAAAACCACATCCAAATCAGATGAAAATAACTTCTCTACACCTCATGGCAAGTTTGTCGTGTTGGCTTAATCAGAGCTCCCCTGGCCACAAGACTGCCCTGCTATCTAGGCCCAGATTTATCCCTCTAGTCTAGTTCCTCCCTTTTTGTACCACATGGTGGACAGACTTGCTTCTCCATCTCTTCCCCTTTCCTTCCAGCCCCCAAAATGCTGCTCCAGAACTAGGTCAGAGACCACCTCTGGGTAGGACACAGGTCCATGGGGAATCAAAATCTTTCTAAGCAGCAGAGGACACACCAAAAACAACTTTCAGAGTGCTCCCAGATGTGAGGCTGCCTTCACCATAGACATTAATTGAAGCAAAGAGCTTCCTGTACTAAAAAGTCACAAGATGTTTAAACAAAATGAAACAACAAAACCCCCAAGCTTCACTAGTGAACCACAGAGCATTTATCAATACACTGTGCAGAGACCATGAGCTGCTCTGAACTTTCCAGCTGCAAAAACACATCCCCTGGATCCCTCGTGCCTCCTGCCCACAGCAGTCCCAGTTCTGCCTCATCACAGAGTGTCCTGAGTGGCATTGCCAGGACTGGTGGCCGAACCCAAGAGCGCTAGTGCACATTTCAGCTTTCCCACAACCCTCAACACTCAATGGATCAAGAGGAGGTGAAAAGCCTGCCAGAGGAAGCTGAAGCAAATGCAATGTTCAAGACAGCACCTTGATCCAATCTCCTCTCAACCGGACTCTTTGCTGCCTTTACTTTTCCATAAAGCAGGGAAAGGTGACATCCATGATATATACACTGCTCTTCTTTAAGCCCCAGCTTACCAAACACCTTTATGATAACAACAAATTAACTTTTACAGTACAGAGGTGTTTAAAAAACTGCTACACACTGATTCAGGTGAGAACTTAGACTCAAGGCTTCAGAAAAACAGCTGCTCACAGTAATTCAGGTCAGCCTTGTGATTTCTGTAGCCAGCACTCTCCCAAGCCCACCAGGGACTTCCCAACAAGGCCAAAGCACCACACAAAATCTCGTCTCACACACAGAGGAACAAGGCATTCAGATTACCATAATCTATTTATTTAAATAGCATGACTTGACAGCCCTGCAAGCTGATGGTGAATATTTGAGAGGTGTTTCCCTCCTGACTAGCTGGTGAAATTGCAAAGCAGGGAAACGTTGAGATGTCTGCATGCTGCTTATATTTATAGCATTTCTTCACTTCTGAGTTGTTTGCATAAATAAAAAGCCCTAAATATAATGGGGATTTTCACAGAGTAAAAAGTCATAGCCTAAAGACAAGGGATGGGCCCCCTCTTCAAATGCATCATAAAGCCAAGGCAATCTCACTAAAAACCTCTGTGCTCATAAGCATAGTGAAAACTTTGGCTGCTGCTTTGGAAGCAAATCACACATGTACAGGTCTAAAAAACTTTTTTTTTAAATAGCTCAGCTGTATTAGTTAAGATCCAGACACCACTCAAACCTCAAACACAGCTACCCTTCCATTCTGAGCCTCTCCAAAAGGTTCTATTCACCTCAAGAACAAAAAGCCAGAAGACACATGAGCACACCATCCTAGAGAGATTTCAGTCGAGGAAATTTTCTGGCAGGGCAAGGGTAAGGGCAGCACATGAGGCACTCAGCTAATTATAATCCAACATCTACCTACCAGGAACCTCATAGGGAATGCTACCCCAGTTTACACAGAACTGGAACCAGATTTTTCTTTATAAGCATCAGAGAGGTTTGCCTAATGTATCATTTTGGTTCTTAATTCCAAGGGCATAAGAAACTGGGGAGCAAAAACTAGGGGGGGAATCTCCTTTCTATTCCTCCCTTTCCAAGGCACTGTCATTGCTCTCTTTCCAAGGACAGTTAAAATGTGATAGGCACCATGCAAGCCAGCACAGCAAACTCTCAGATGCCATAATCTCAGAGAAAAAGCCACACTTACCATTACTGTTGAATAGGCAAAATGTAGAGGTAACTCTCCTCTGCAGAAGTATACCCTCAAAATATGTCAAAGACCCTGGTCTCCAGCCACACCATCATCCCAATTTATCTATATGCAAAAGGTAATGACACATACAAACAATTTTCTAGTGTGATGGCAAAGAATATTATTTATTCCAGTAGAAAAATACTTTAAGCACCAGCAATCAGAGCCTGAACACTGAAGGTGAAATCTCAACCTGACAGAGCTAGCAGAAGCTTTTCCCCCAGTGAATGATAGGGCCAGCTCTCCTCTGCCACACAGAGGGAACACTTTTTTTTTTTAAATGCTAAGTGACTCGTGTGAAATGTCCTGTGTTTTTAAAACTACACATTTCCCTATTACAACCATGACCTAATACTTATTCAGTGGAGATCTCTGGTGGAAATAAGTGCCAGGCACATGTTTTGTTGGTCAGCTGGATTTGTTGACCATTACATCAAGTTTTACTTTCAAATACATTTGTGCAGTGTAATCCAATTAGGGTTTAAAGCAACACTGACAGTGTTAAATTCTATAATTAATCAAAGTAATAATTAAGGTATTTGTACAAGTGACCAGGTCAGGTATTCCAAAGGCAGTTGATCACAGTATTTACATGAACGTAGGAGAATATAAAGCAAATAATTATTCCTTTTGTATGGAATAATTACTTGCTTAAAAAGTCCCTTTGTAGTTGTTTCAACTTTGCTGATATGTGACTCTAGTGTGGTAAGAGATCTGAAACTATTCTTAGACCATGGCAGAAAGCATGAAGTGGTTTCTTGGCAGGTCTTACACTCCCCACTATAATGAGAGCAAGTCACTTCATTTATTTCCCCGTCAGATGAGCAGAGAGAAGACTGAAAGGCAGAGCATAAATAAGTCCTCAGACTGTGAACAAAAACAAAAAAACAACCAGGTTTTGTGGAGGAACCAGCTGGTTCCTCCCCATCTCCTTTGCAGAAGTCCAGCCATGAGTTTACAGCATATACTGGGAATTAAAAAAAAAAAGCCAAATCATATTTTTCACCTCTACTTTTAAATTCCTTGAAGTCAAACACAGCAGCCCTTACAAACTACACACAAGACTTAAGCAGGTTCACAAGGCTCCAAGGCTCCTGCTGCTGGGTCTTGAGGGAAAAGGAAGAACAGCAGGATGGAGACAATGCCACTGGACCCTGGTCAGGGAGACAAGGCAACTCCTCTTGTGTTAAAAGCTGCCAAGATGTGCTGGCATGGATGCTTCAATTTTTCATTTTATTTTCCTTTGTAGAGTGAATTTAGCTTGTGAAAAAAAAAAAAAAAAGCTGAACTCCGAGCCTAAATGTTTCAGTCATGGAAAACTAGTACTTCTCATCTGAATGCAAATGAATTTCCCACTTTCCATTTTGAGGTCCTAGTAGCAATCTTAAGCACATCAGCTCCCAAGACTCAAGGAAACTTTTGCTATGAGCTGAGGTGCTCAGGGAAGGCAGTGATGCCTCACTGTTGGGTTTGCAGGAGGGAAAGGGGTACAGCCCTACCAAGGAGGGTCAGGGCTGCTGACCCAGCCTGGGGTCACAGCACCATGTTCTTCCCCTCTCCAAATTCAGCTTTGACATTGGCCTCAAGCAGAAGGGACACCGGGCTCATATAACTGCCCCTGTCTCCATTCCAATGCTAAGAAAAAAAAACTAAATTAAAAAAAAAAAAGCATCAACAAAAAGCAAGGCCTTTAGTTTTCAGCAAACATGGAATAACATGGTCATAGGGTGTTGGGGGAAATATGATTTCTTCCTATTTTGTTTATAAACAGACTGAGCAGCAGCTTTAGCCAGGACAGCTCAGGCTGCTACTGCCCATATAGCAGGACTACAAAATACAGGATCCTTATGGGTTTATTTTTTGAAAAAATAGACGATTAATGCCTGTCTCAAGTGTTGCTGTGCCTCGTGGCAAAAGAAATAAGCAAATCTTTCTTAAGAGCTTAAATCAAAATTATGCATGTGTTACATTTATGACCAAAAAAATGTTAAAGGAAGTAGCAAGAAGGGGAATGGATAGAAAGGGAGGAACTGAAGTCTTAAAATCTTCCATGCCACAGCATACACGAAACCCTCTCTTGTCACATCGCTAGTTTATACATTGGTCTGCTACATTAAAAATAAACGACACCATGTCTTTTTAACTCGTGCCTCATAAGGCACACTATACATACATTTATCTATAGATCACGGCCCGGCCTGGGAAAGGTTTCTGTGCTGCTTAAAAAGCCTGGGGCACCTCAAAGCCGCTCGCCGGCGGGGCCAGGCAGAGCTGTAACCCAAGCCCCGGCTCGGCGATGGGACCGAGCCCGCGACGTGCCAGCGTGCCCCGAGAGCGGCAGCGGGGCCGCGGGCTGACAGGCAACACCAAACATGGAGAAGGTGGCACCGCATGGGGGGACGGGAACTTGGACAGCCCGGCTAGCAACCAGTGTTTGCAAAAACAACACGGGGGATCAGATGGGCCGGCAATAAATTAGGGCCGGGCAGTGGAGAGCGAGAGAAATCACTAAAAGTAACAGACCCAAGCAAAGAGGTCTCCCCGGCCACCCCCAGTTTCGTTTTAGCGCCTGAACACAAGGATGGGGATACGCCAGCTCCAGGGCGGCTGAAGCACGACGGAAAAAACGCTATCTGTCAAGTGAAACTAAATAACGAGTGCTTTCAGTGCCACGCCCCCAGCTCGGAAAGTTAGCCGTAGCCTTCCTAAATGCTGCTTTATCCCATGCTCAACTCCATCTGACCCCAGCTGGAGCCCCACTTCAAAGAATGGGAGTGGAGTTACGGTGATGGCCCAGCAGCTCAGCGCTGCCCAATTACTGCTCTGCAGCTTCATCTCAGCCATGATCTCATTCCAGGTACTGAAGAAGTACTATGCGAGGTTCAGAGAAGGTGCAGTGTTTTCAGAGAAACACAGAGAACACCTTCAGCACTCCACTTTTCTAAAGATAGGAAGGCTTGCAGACTACAACCACATATACATACCCAGCTGCAAAGGCTGTACAACAGAAGGATTACCACCAGAAAGGCACAACTCCAGTGGCAGCCTCGCTCTGCCAAGCGCCTCATTGATGACCCCAGAGACTCCACAAAAGCATACTGGGATCCTGTAGCAAGTATCAAAACAAGCCCAGCATGACCACACTCTTACCAGGAGCAAGGGGACAGTTCAGCAATTTCAAGCTTCCCCAAGACACACAGAGGAGTATCTCACAGGACCCCTAGATCCTACAAAGCCGTGAAACTCAGCTGAGGAAAAGGGATAAAGTACCAGCCCACTCCATTCTCCTGCCACACTGTGCAGGTTGGAAGTAGCAAGCTGCACAGAAAAATTAAGCAAATTAAATACATACAGTATGAGCTAAGCAGCAAATCTTTCCATAGTTTCCCCCTGCCACAGCCAGTCTCTGCCAACCATACCTCCGAATGGCATAAGCACCCAGGGGAAAGGAAATTTAATCTAGAGGACAGCATTGTTATAAATAGGATCTCGAGAATAAAGTGAAGTGTCCTTGGATGATGCCTTAATTGGTGGGGCTCATCTCCACCAGAGCATTAGGGATAAACCAAATTCCATATTAAAACAGGAGCCTTTACAGGAAAGCCATATACATAAATAAGCACTCATACACAGAAACACACCACTTTCAGATCACTCTTTAAACAAATAATTTCCCCCTGTCCATTATTCTGACCCCGTATCACCAAAACTGGGCTTGATTGCCCAAGTTGTGCTGACTGGTCCATGATACAATGCCTCAGACCAAGTGACCTCCCTTATCTTTCCTCCCCCCTCCTTCTACTCTCCCACTGTCCATCTCCAGCACCTATGAGTCCAGTTTTACATGGACTAAAATAAGGCTGCTAAGTAAAGGTCAGTCTGACAAACTAAAAGAGAAGTATCCCCTCCTGGACCTCTGCTCCTTGAGCTATAAATACTCAGAATAAGCACTGGGGGAAATTCTTTGTTTGCACAGACAGACACCAGGAAGCACATTTCCTCCTCCTTGCACTTCTCACCCCTCCTGCTACTCAAGGACAACATCCAGAGAAAAGCAAGCACCTCTCTGCTACCAGCACCATGATTTGTCCATGGAAGGCATTTGCTTTGCCACTGGTGACTTGAGACACCCAGGCCTTCCCAGAGATAAACAGATGCTTTCAAGGTCCAACCATCAGCAAGGCTAACAGCAGAGAGTACACACTGCAAAGCAAACCAACACACTGTGTCTGGGCAATGAGGAGAATTACCTTTTAGGACTAAGGGCTCCTTGCCTTCTCGCTTGAGTGACTCCAGCACTATGTGGAGTGGCTGGGAAGGCATCACCCTGCTTGGCTCATTGGTATTCTCATCATAAACTACAATTTCTTTGGAAAAGATTCTCTTGAAGGAGTCCTTGCCTTCCCGGCAGGAGATCAAGTCCAAGACTGTGATCTTGCCCTGCTGAAGCCTTCTCCGGCTGATCTTGTCAGAACAGTTAATGTGGACAGCCCCTTGAATGTGGCTCTTATTATACTCCATGAAGGGCCTGCAGTCAATGATGACAGGACCTTGGTTCTGTTGGTGGCTCTTGCTGCATTTGGTCATCTTCTTGGCCAGATCATTGGGGTAGATGATTTTGATGCTGGCGAGTTGCTTGGTGCTGCCCAAGACAGGGCTCCCAACTCCGCCCAGCGGGCTCAGGCTGCCGGTGTTCTCATTGCTGTTGACCATTTGGTTGGTAGGGCAGGCGGGGGAGGCTCCGGTGTGGGTGCTACTGGTGCTCACTTGAGTTTGGGCGTGAGTGTCCTTGTCGTAAGTTGCCACAGTGCAGCAACTGGCACTGCTGCATCCACAACTCAGAGAGCGTGCAGAGCCGTTGGATGAGGGCATATACGTGAGATTAGCAGTCTTTAGGGACACGACAACTCCGCCAAGCAGACTGGAGTGGCTCTCACCAGCAGAAGAAGCAGATTCAAGGAAGCTGGAGTCTAAACACAGGTTGAGATCCTGAGGTCTCACTGGCCTCGAAAGTGCCACTACTACCCTGTCGTCTAAAGGAGATGGAGGCATGAGGAGGCTGAGCACTAGCAAGTTAAGAAGAACTCAAGATCACCCTGAAAAAGAAAAAGCAGAAGGGAAAGAAGAAAAAAGGTGATGAAAACAGATAATGAAATCACATAAACTGAGAGATCCAGCAACTTATTTTGCCGACACTCATTACCCCTACACCCCTTCTGACAGTTACCAGTTCACAGTAAAAAGCCTTTTCAGTGCTGCAGAGAATACTTCAGCTATCTGCATGTGCGCCCATAGCACGCAGAATCCACACGAGCAGCTTGGACTGTGCAGTGACACCCAGGAGAAGGCATTTAGCTACATGCTGACGGTACTGAGCTATTCCGAAACCCCAGGCTGCAAAGCTCACCACTGATAACGACAGAGGCACGTTCCCTTATCCCGTTGCTCACTGAAAAGGAAGCAACTACTGGGCTGAGTCCACTACAGGGAGGAACGCGTAAGAGCTGAATAGCTGAATGTGTCAGAGGTGATATGCAACTTTTCCAGCATGCTGGAATAAAATTAGCCTGTGAATAAATTTTCTGAGACAGTTACAAACTTGAACACATAAGGCTAAACAAAAAAATACCCAATAGAAAACAAAAAAATTAGCTTCTGGAGATCCTTATAAGCATGCACCTTGCACTTCCCTCCCCCTGTTAGAGGTGAACCCAATCCCAGTTAAGCCCTTAGCTCCAGGCTCGGGAAGTCGGCTGTTCTCCAGCAGTCCGTGAGGTAAATTCCCGCTCCCCACCCCACTTCACAGCTTCTTCAAAGAGTGGTCCCCTCCGCCCCAGGCAAGGTCACTGCCTTCCCCACCTTTGCCTTCCCATTTGCTAAGACGCAGCACGCAGGATTTGAATCCCCCCGTTTCTACTCGGCAGACAACGAAGACGACAGGAACAAAATACCCAAAGCCAGCCCTGACAGTGCGTCACTTTCACCAGCAACTTCGGGAGCAGCCGCAGCTCTCTCTGAAAAACCCATCCCAGCACCAACTTCACCAACTCCACCAAGACCCCGGAGCGGGGCGAGCACTCGCAGCTCCCGTTTGCCGCCCCGGCCGGCTCTGCACCGGGCCGGCTAGGAGATGTCCATCCCGAATAAGGGATGGCCGGGGGGCACTGCCACCTCCAGCAGCCACGGCTCTACGTAGCAAACCCGCGGGTACCTCCGGAGCGCGGAAAGGTGCCGCGACCCGCCCGCCCGGGCACGGCGGAGGTGCCGCGGCTGGGCAGAGCGGGGCCAGCGGCGGCTCGCTCGAGAGGCTTTCCCAGCCCGTTCTTTTCCCAAACCTCCCCTCGTCCTATTTTAGGATAACACCTAGGATAAGGGCGCCCCGAGCGCATTCGCCTGACGCAGTTAAAATTGTTTAATAAACGAGGGAGACAACCCAGTTACCCAAGCGAGGGGAGACAACGAAAGAGCCCAGGAGCAGAGAGAAGCTAAAGTTTTGCCCCCGATCGCAGGGAGCCGGGGCTACCGCCAATCGCGCGGCGGGCCGGGCCGGCGCTCCCCGCCACCGCAGCCCTGGCGCGGGCTCCCGCAGCCGCGGCTCCCGCAGCCGCGGCCCCCGCTCCGCACCGTGCGCCGCACTCACCGGCGCGTCGCGCTCCGTCCCGGTGCGCGGAGGTGGCGGCGGCCGCCGCGGGAGGAGCCGCTGGTGCCGGTGCGTGTCGCGCCCGCTGCCCCGCGCGCCGCCCGCCCCGGACTCCGCGCGCCGCCCGCACCATCCTCGTTACTTTCTCTTTTGCTACCGCGTAAATGTACGGCCCGGCGGGGGCGGGGCCCGCGCCGACGGGCGGCCGCGCCGACCAATCGAAGCGCGGGGGCCGGCCCGAAGGTGGGGCGGTGACGTCATCGGTAGCCAATGGGGAGGGCGCGGCGTCGGCCCCGAGCCCCGGGGCAGCCGCCTCTGCCCGCGGACGGGCGGGGCGGCCCCCGCGCGCGGTCCCGCGGCAGCGCCCCCCGCAGGACGGGGAGCGCCCGGGAGCGCCCGGGAGCGCCCTGCGTTCGGCCGTGGCCGCGGCCGCGGCCGCGGCCCACGGGAATGGGGCAGCGGCACCAGCCACGGAGGCCAGGAGAGCATCAGCCCCGCTCCCGGAGTGCGGCGGCAGCGGGCAGTGCTGCCCGTCCGCCCCAGCCCCCCCTCAAGAGGCTCAGCAGTGAACCAGCGGCGCCAACCCGAGAGGATGCTGTATAGATGCTTTTCCAAGCAGTCCTTCCCTGTCAGAAACAAGACCTCATGAGGTACTTGGGAGGAGGAAAACCCAGGAACCACATCTCCTCCTGAGTCAGTCCATCAATCCGCAAAGTCAGACACAGGGAAAGTGGCATCTCCATCCTACCAGTCCCACCCTGACCATGGGAGCACTGGAGAGTTTCATCCACAGCCCAGCATGCAAACCCGCTGAGCTACAGGAGGAAGGTTGAAGTTGGAGCAGATAAGAAAAAGCCCACACTACCTTCTTGGGAGTAGAAGAACAGTAATTTCCTCACACAAAATCATTAAATCACAGGGAGGGCAGGAGATGTGCCCTACACTGCCCAGAGACAGCCAGGCCTGGAGGTCCCTGCCTGACCCTCAGATGGTGCGTGTTATGGAAACTCAGATAGAATCCAGCTTTGGCACATTGTCCAGTAAAGATCCTGAATGTCCAGATTAGATTGGACTCTCCCAGTCCAGTCAGTGTAAAAAGGAAAGCAGCACAGGCTGGAGGATAAGATTTTGAGGATAAGCAGGAATCCCTTTCATCCTTTCTGTCAGAGGCTGACATGGGCAAAATAATGAGCTCTCACCCTTGTTACGTGAGCACTACAAGGTGAGAATTGATTTTCAAGCCACATGGATCAGCTCCTCACACACACTAGGAGAGTACCTGGCAGCAGCACAGGATTTCTGTGCCCCTTCCTTCCTCACTGTGCAATCTGTTTACACATTTCCTGGTTCAGCAACATCTCATCATGTCCAGTCCATCACATATCAATCCACCAAGTCAGTGACAGGGAAAGTGGCATATCCAGAGCAATGCATCCTCCCATGTCCTTCCTAACCATGGGGGTGACAAAGCATTTCACCAGCTGGGAATGCCAACCAAGCTTCGAGCTACAGGAGGAAAGATGAAGTTAGAGCTGGTAAGAAGTTGTCAGCATGATAACATTGAATCTAAATTAGCGCCCAAAGATTTTGGTTCTGGGATGTATACAGATAATTCATTTTTCAACTGGGATTTTCAAGCTGTAACTACCAATCCAACTGGGTCAATTGGAAAAAAAAGAAGTATATATATATATATATATATATAATGCAGTAATATCATCATCCAGAAACTCAGTTTAAAAAAATTATGAAAACAGAGAGCAAGACTTTAGAAGCCCTGAATACCTGATTTTTTTTTATTAATAATTCTGAGGTAAACAGCAAATCCTTTTTCTCACAGCCATTCTTTAAACAATCAGTTGCTTCTCCTTAATGTTCCTTGTAGGACAGCAATTCATTCAGCACAAACTGAGGCTTTTGGTTTCCAGTGTTGTGATACCACAGCAGGGCACCAGTTCCCCTGCACACTAGGAAGGAAGGGGAAGTGGGGGAAGGCTCCCACTTGTAACAGCTTCACCTCCAACAATCTGCTTCTACTGAGAACAAATGTGGGGAAAGGCTTCGAGCAATTAAGTCATAGAGTAACTTCACCCCACAAAGACCACAGTCTGGAGGTATTACCTTCTGAATAAAATATTCATAAAATATAAGTCCCCACACTACCCAGCAAAAATGCAAACCAGCCTGCTGCGTGAACAGCTGCCCTCCCTAGCGAGAGAGCAAACAGCTCGATGGAGAAATGCACTGGTCTCACTCAGACTCCACAAACATTGGTCAGTTCCCCAGAGGTGCCACTGTGAGACACCACTGGAGCATTTCCATGCTCTCTATTCCTCTTTGTCCGTGGCTTGCTGAGGTTGGCACTGGGCTCACAGCAGAGGAGGGGTAGTTCATGCTTCCCTCAAAAACTTCCCTTTCAGGCCATGCTTGCAATTGCGGAAGGAGCCCCCTATGGGCATGTGTTCAGTTCACCACCTGAAATGGTGCCCTCCACCCGGGCAGCTGGAAACTGTGTTCCCGTTTGTGCATCTCCCAAAGCTAGACATCTCCTAAGGCAAATATTTGCTAGAAAACACTTAGAGTCATTGATTTAGCAACCTTTAACTTTCTGACCAAACTTCTCAGTACAGTACTAACAATGTGCACCAAGAAAATGGGTTGTGACTTGCTTATGGAGGAGTTCTCACAGGAGAGCTGTGCAGAGGTTACTCATAGCAAGCAATGCTCCCTTCTGAAGGATACTCAGCCTTTGCCAAGTTTTCATACAATACAAAGAGAGGCCAAATGTTATTTTGTCTGATATTTTACTTAATTTTTTATTTTTCTAAGAATGTTGACAGTAAGTTGCTATTCCGCACCAGTTTCAGAGGATTTCCTACACGACTTTACTGACTTCATGCTTAATACATTTTATTAGCCTATGACATAAGATTGGCCTTTTTTCCTGCTCTCAGAAACCACAGCCCGCTGTGACTTTTTTTCTGAGCATATTCAATGAACAGCTTTCTAAATGCTTTTGCTCTCTGTAATTCAACATCCAAAACAGACAATACTTATCTATTCCCTAAAAACTAAACTTCTATTTTCTGAAAAGCACACAAGAATACTTACTATGAAATCTGGCAGATCTTAGTTAAATTTCCGCTTTCAGCAGTAGCAGCACATGGGATTTTGACATTTATTTTCCTCAAATGTTTTTGCCACCATGGTGCACTTGCTCAGACATTTGAAGAAAACCACAGGCAGACAAAGTGAAATCATCTCAGAATTGAAGCAAATCCTCACAAACTCTCACAGTATACTAATTGCATAAAATCCAATCAAACCTATTCAACCTCACAAAAAGGGTAAAAATTGCTAAAAGCACATGCTGAATATTTAACAGATGTGAAAAAGAAGCCATCACAATTCTTACCAACCCCTTAAGTGCTCTCAAACTCAACAGTTCCTTCTTATTGAAATATTTCTTGCACATCAACCATTCTTCTACTCTACAATCAGGGATGTTTTATCTTGTTTAGAATTAGAAAAAGACCCAGAACATAACTGCCTTTATCAACACAGACATGTACAGCACCTGCCCTGCACCTAAGTAGAGAAGAAGGTGTGCTGTTCTGTCCCCTGAACATTCAAATCTCTGGGGTCATACATGAAGAAAGAATTTCACCTGTTGTACATATGACTGCAGAATGGGGCACTCCAATGTTGGCTGCTCTCTGGGGTAGCATTATTCTGGTTTTAGGAGCACAGTAGCAACCAAAGCCAGGAGTTCACAGTAACAGGCCAAGTGTAAAGACAACAAAGGACAGACCCCTGTCCCTCCTGAGACTGTCATTTGAACAGAGCAATGCAAGTTCCCAATTTTACCAGCAGAAATGGGAAGCAAGAGGCTGAGTGACTTCTCTAAAGCAACACAACAGCTTACACAGTGGAGTAGAAAATTGGGAAACTGGGGAAAACAAAGGTGCTAACCAGCACAGTATTTCAGCTGCAAACCTGTAGCTCGCACTTCATCAGGTATCACATGAACTGGCTAAAAGAAAATGTCCTTGGGGGCTAGACTGAACATCTATGTGTTCACTACTTAAATTTGCCCATTTGTTTTTTTAAGCAATCTTTGATTCTTGTTTGGTTTTAATACATCACATGGTGCCTTTGTTTGTCTTTGCTAGAAATTTCAATTCACTACACAGGCAAAGCTGAGAAACCACTGTTAGCCATTTTGCAACAAAAGGATATCCCCCCTTCTCCTTTCTTTTGGAAGCCCATTTTAAAGGCACCTTAGTAAAATACAAGCTTCCCTCTTAAGTGATCATATGATATGAGAGGAAACAACCTATTTTAGACAAACAGTTTATCTTCTAAGCAAGGGGATGGGATTGAAACTGTGCACAAAGTGAATTTATAAGGAAATTGAGAGCCAGTAGTAAACATAAAGATGCATCCTGGTACTCCTGCGTGCTTTTTATGGCTTATCCCCAGTGGGGAAGCTGCTATAAAATTACCTAAGTGAGAAACTGAAATGCAACAGCTCTGGCACTGTAACTCCACGTGGATGCTTCTGCTGCACAGTTACCAGCCTGTGTGGATTTGGTAAGGCACAAGTGATGCCAGGTGTCCCTTCTCTGCGGCACACCACAGGAGAGTTAGGGCAAGGAAGTCATGGTGGTGAGCAGCATCCTTTAAACAAAGCAACAATACAAGCAGTCAGACAGGTGAAGTCAGCCCACGTCTCCTGACCATGCCTGCTCCAGTTCAGCTCTGAGTCACTGCTGTGGAACTGTGGTCAGATACTCACTCCACAGCCCTTGCAGGCATCCCTTGTGCTTGCTGGAAGATGACAGCTCAAGACCACCCTGCAAATACCTTGAGCTGCTGCAGATGGATGAGTTAGTTTGATGAATTAGGGAACAAGCCAACCTGGGGGAGTTTGCCTCCAGCACCCCATCAGCATCCCCCCTTCTGCCAGAAGAGTGTGGGGATGGCTGCACATTCGGAGGAGTGGGAAGTGGCTCAAAACCTTTAAGATGCTGGAGTGAGATGATGTGTGCTCCCAGCCTTGTTTATACAATTTCATTAAACAAATGCAGCTACAGATTGACATTTTAATTCCTCTATA